TTATGATTATTTTAAAACAACTATAGCACCGGACAAAATCGTTTAGTTCGAGTAGGAAAAATGAAATCTAAAAGCATAACACAACTGTAAATATGTAAACATAAACAATATCACATTAACTTACACCTTTAGTGGTAGCTATTGCTATGCATCGTGCCCAATACATGAATAGAGGTGATGAAGTCGAGTATAGACCTAATGACACCGCAACCATCATCATTACCGGCTCGACATTGACAAAACCGCTAAAAGGACTGTTTTCATTTCGGACCATTTTTATTCGGTCGCCATTTTATTTATTTATTTTTTCAAAATTTTTCCTACTTGGTCTTCTATACCCATTCATTTATCACATTATATTTTCCCACATATTACAACTTCCTCTTGGGAATGCTCATTTACGATTCACAGACCTGTGCTGACTCGTCCCAAGCTCCCAATATCACATCGCTTAGGGAAAATTCGGACCTTATGTCACCTATTTACGCCAAAATGCTGGGAAGCGAATTGAGGAGAGACCTACGAGTCAGGAATAATAGGGAATGGTCAGCCGGGATGTCAGTTTACCAGTATGTCGAGAAGGGGCTAGTGAATCTCACCACATCAGTCAGCACTGTTACATCTACTGACCTTAATGGGTGGTACCTATATCTATCTACAGTAACCACTACAATTAGTTGAATGTTATTTATGAAGCATTAGTAACTAAAAAATAAACATATAAGATACATATAATTTCATAAGCGTGGGAAAAAAGTAAGATCAGTACAATCTAAGATGGGTAGATCCAAATATTCGAGTAGTGAGCGAACCGTAAGCATTTCTTCCAGAATAGCCGAAGTCTGGCAGAGAAGTTTAAAGTGGCCGCTCCCATGAGACCAACTATCGAAAAGTACTGGCACGTAGTATCGAAAAGGGGGTGGAGAAATAGTGTACGTTGTGGCCACGCCCCTCTACTGCATACCACAAGTTAGTCGCCTGTATCCCCCTTTCGTCCCGTTGATCATCGATTTGCTCAAGCAGGAAGGACCGTGAATTCGAAAAGACTAGTGGATTTTCCTTGTCTTCTTCAGTGTTCTTGAATCTTCAATGTTCTTCGCTTTTCACGCCGCGCGATTC